TTACTTCTTGTATTGAATCAGTGAGCATTTTAGCGTTCACTTCCACTGTAACTGCTCCACTGTTACCCAGATTTTTGCTTTAAAGAAAAGTAAAGACAAGTGGAAATGATTTGGTAATCAACAAGTGTTGTCGTTTGAGCTTAACTTGTAACAAACCTGGAATATTGCTTAATGGGACAATTGCTCTTCGAATACAGTGTTCTTGCAATGATGCAGAAGTAGTAAATGTTGGGTGATAAGGTAAGAAAACAAATCAATGACACAGCAGAATCTGTCCTGTTCTAATATTTATCAGAAGGCTGTTATAGGTAAGGAAAAACAACTCATAGGAATCGATTTCCTGCAAAGCAGCTTTGAAAACAGGGCCTTGTTTGTGGTAAAGCATAATCATTTCACCAATAATAAAATTAAAACCCCCTATTTTTCAGTTTGGAAAGTGCTCTGATATCTCTGCATGTGAGATAATGGAAATGTTTTCTAAATCCATGTTTTCCAGGCTCATACACAAAAATCCATTTCTCTGATTGATCAACATGACTTCACCCAGACGGTTTAATTACACACTTTTCCGCTGACCAGAAAACAAGTGAATAAAGATGGCCACTCAACAAAACTGCAACACCTAAACAAATAAATCCCGCGTAGTATGAGCCCCATTTCCCAATGCAGCTGTCCTGCGAGTTTGCTCCGCGCCCTTGACGATGTGTTTCACTTACGATAAGGCCTCCCTAGACGCTCCTCACAAGCCTTCAGACCTCTATTTTGTGATATCTTCTATTAAATGTGTTGGGATGTGCTCCATAAGCTCACCTCAGGTACTGTGGAAAAACAAAGTTTGAGGGGAAATCCCAAGACAGTTAACTTCCCCATTACACTGTATTTTAACCAATTTGCAATTTATCAGAGATAAATTATTCAAAGGTGCACACCAACCTGAATATTTAAGAAATAAACAGTGATTCAATGTGGAGTGAAATCAGCAGCTTGGCCTTGATTATACAAGGTTCAGAAGAAAGTGTTCAGATCAAAAAAAGTCATTTTATTTGGCATGTAAAAGATAGTCAGCGTGGAGTTTCCATGAATGTATAAAGTCACAGCGCATATAAACTACTGCAGCTAACATGGACCTACACTTACATAAAAGTGACACAAACAAACAGAGGAGATGTCAGTCAGAGTTCACCTGCTCATCTCGCTTCGTGAATAGCCTTCGTACACTCACAAATAGCAGGAATGCTGAGTAGACGGCAGATATTCTGCGCTGGGTAGCAGATTCATTCAGCATTGATCCTCAGTTTAAAACACTTTCACTTATCACGCAATTTTTCAACGTGTTATACCTTCCAAGGGTTTTTTGAGACCGAACCTAAAGATACAACAAAAAAAGGGTATTTTTTGTGAAGGAAAAAATGCTCGTTATATGTGTGTACGTATGATGCCATTTTGATCACCTGAGAACTCGTGAAGTGTTTATAAAGTATGGAAGCTTGTTTCCGCCACAGAATAAAAAATAAAAAAAGGTAATTGCGACTTTTTATCTCACAATTCTGACTTTTTTTCTCACAATTGCGAGATTATATCTCGCAATTCTGACTTTTTTTCTCAGAATTGCGAGATATAAAGTCAGAATTGCGTGATATAAAATCACAATTGCGTGTTATAAAGTCAGAATTGCGAGACAAAGTCAGAATTGATTGATATAAAGTCATAATTGCAGGTTATAAAATCAAAATTGCGTGAAATAAAGTCGCAATTGCGTGTTATAAAGTCAGAATTGCGTAATATAAAGTTGAAATTGCGTTTTGTAAAGTCAGAATTGTGAGATATAAACTATTCTGAGGGGAAAAAAGTTTTTTCCCCTTAGAATTGGTCTGATAACTCGCAATTGCGAGTTTATATTTCACAATTCTGAGAAAAGATGTCAGAATTTCAAGATATAAACTCGCAATTATGTGTTATAAAGTCAGAGTTGCGAGATGTAAACTCGCAATTGTGAGAAAAAAAGGCAGAATTGTGAGATAAAAAGTCGCAATTCTGTCTTTTTTTCTTGCAATTGCGACTTTATTTCTCAGAATTTCGACTTTATATCTTGCAATTGCGACTTTATTTCTTATAATTGCGACTTTATATCTCGCAATTGCGACTTTATTTCTCAGAATTGCGACTTTATATCTCGCAATTGCAACTTTATTTCTCACAATTATGACTCCACATCTCGCAATTGTGAGATAAAAAGTCGCAATTATTATTTTTATTTTTTATATTCATTGGCGGAAACAAGCTTCCATAATAAAGTGTGTAAAGGAGTCAAACAGCGTTGCACACTAATGAAGAACTGCTGTTTTTCCATGCTACACTGAAACCAACTGAACTTCCAGCCCGTTCTCATCCTTTGGCGTCATACATGTGACGCTTTGTACATTTCGTCAAAATCTTACGCACATGGCATCTTTTAGCATCAATATGAGACGCAGAACCCAAGGCGTCATAACCGTAACCCTACCCCAGACCTAAACCTACCCATAACAGTGCGTGTTATATTGACGCTAAAGGATGCCATGTGCGTAAGATTTCGACGAAATGTCATATGGCGTCACCTATATGACGCCAAAGGATGAGAATGCGTTGGAACTTCACACTACACTGAGTTAACATAGTAGCATCACTATATTTAGTTAGTTACTCACCAACACTATTAAATAGCATCACACGAACAACATCAAATCAAATGCTGGGTAGAAAGAGTCAACACTGGGAAGATGTAAATGAGGTTTGTGTTGAACAATAATCAAAACTGTCATGATTTCCCTTCTCGTTAATTTGCTTTAGTATTTCGATGCTGTTTTGTTTGCTTGTTTCTTTTGTTTGCTTGTTTGTTCAGTTGCGTTTCATTCTGATGCGATCTTCATTGATTAAAACACTTTCTAGCAGAACAAAGGGCCTTTGGATGAATCTGAAAAGCAGCTCATACCTGTATATGCAAAACGTGGGCATTGAAATCATTATGGATACAGTATTTTCCAGCAGTGGTAGTTCCTTCTTTACATAAACCTCCAGAACATTTCATTTTGAAGGATTGTAGGTCTTTAAATGTCTTTTTAAGATGGGTAAACACTGCAATTTTCAGTGTTTACCCATCTTGGTATGGCGGTTTTCTCACAATTATGCTCCCTATATAATACAAACCGGGTTTAAAAACGAAAGGAACGTTTCATGAGTAAGAGGAGAATGCTGGGGGAAAAGACTAAATTTTGAATGAGTGTCATATTGAATGACCGTTCAAGCATTCACACTGATACTTCCAATATTTCATGCTCTCATAAATAGTTGGTTTGCAAAAAAACTACTGTTTATACACTGAAGGATTTATGTCATGGTTGGTGTGGGTTGAAAACATCCTTAAAGTTATACTTCAAACTCCAAAATGTATAGTGAAGCATTACTGAAAGCAAGCCTTGAAAAGTGTGGCATGTGCTGAGGATTAATAATGAATTTGAAAAGAACACATCAACTAAGTAGCTTTCTGTAAGGAACTTTACTTGCCACAACCTTGGAACAGAAACTGTATACTTAGTCCTGCACATACAACTTTGAAACCATGCCATTACCTGACACAACATTTGTGTAAAGTTAAAATGAATATTACAGTTCAAATTAAAGCAGAAACTGTTAATATTATTAATAATAATGGGATTAAAATTAGTTCTGTCATCAATCACTCAACTCATTAGTTATTGGAGAAGCTCAAACGTGCTGCGTTACATGATATTGAAACCGAACAGTACCTCTTGTAAACACAGCCACGTCCAAGTGATCTGATGGTGCCGACGCTTCGGTCTTTTCCGGCAAGATGAAAAAATAAAAACAATTTTATAAAAACATTATATTTTTATAAAAAATAAAACAATTGTATGAGTGACGTACACGCGCGAGAGATCACTTCCGGCGCTTGCCGGAAAAGACCGAAGCGCCGGCGCCCTCAGATCACTTGGACGTGGCTGTGGTTACAAGAGGTAAAAACGATATAAATACTGTTCGTTTTCTCACACAAACCGCTCGTTTCGTGTCTTAGGCCATCAATGTGTCCTTACATTTACGAGTCATTAAATCATGTTTAATTTGGACTTCTCTGTGCATGCTCTTTGAGGTGGTGACCATAGACCTGCATTATATGACTGACAGACAAGAACGGTTTGACCTAAAAATATCAAAATTGAAACTACTGCGGAAACAAAGACACCTCCATCTTGGATGCCCTTGAGGAAAGCTAAAACATACCAAAAAAATATTTCAAAGTGAACTATCATAGATTAGTAAATGCTTTAGAATGTTTTTTTTTCATCATGTAAAGCCCCTTGCACACCGAGTCCGTAATTCGCGTCCGAAATTTCCGCACGTTAAAAAATAAATACGACCTCACCTCACGTTATGTCAATCACGCTTACACACTGCCTCCGAAACTTTCGTCCGTCATAAAAAAAAAATTGGATCGGGTTCGATTTTCTGCGTTTTTCGCATCCGTAGCGAGCCGTTTGAATGGTGTTCGGATGGTGTCTTGACAATTCATAGCCACCGAATCACTAATACGAAAAAACGCATACGAACATTTCGGAATCAGTGTGCAAGGGCCTTTACAGTTAACTAATGTGAACAAATGGAACCAATAAATATGTCCAATTTATGAACAAATCATCCTTTCTGGTTTATTCCATTCACAAATCTGACTGATTCAATGATTGAATGATTCAATGATCACATGGAACACTTTAATGGTAGGCTATAAACATTTGTTCTACTGAATAAGGTTGTAAAAAAAAAAAAAAAAAAAAAGCTAAAATCCATGATCATTGGCTAGATTAACTTCTAAAATGTCCGACTGTCCTGCGAGTCACACAACTGCTGAGCACAGCTGAGGTGTGTCGCATGACTTCAGAAAAATAAAGATGTGTCTAGACAGAACCCTAATTGAATTTCCAAGGATCCAATATTCTGTGACGATCAAAGAGCGCTGTAAACAGATTTGAGATAAGGTTCTTAAAACAATAGCCAACAGGGAATGGTTAAAGGGGGAAACATCAAGACTTGAATTTAATAAAACTAGCAATATAAGTCCATCATGAAATAGGTGAGAAATATTACCGTAAACAACTGATACAATAAAGCAGGCTTTTCTCAATCCATAATCCATTCCTCTGTCAGATTAGCAGGTGTGTCAGATTATTGAGATATCTAAAGGGATCTGGTTGAGAAACCCTGCGATAAAGCATATAGTGTGTGTGCACGGGATATAATACAGTAGCCTAAACCAGAAACGCATATTAATAAAAAAATATATCATGTTGTATACAATCACACACATACTTAACATGCAAAATATGTTCCAAAAACCAGTTTATGTGAGGAACTACTTTCTTTCACCCATATTCAGGATCTGTCGTCGATAGTTCAAAAGATGTTTTCAAATTCTCCATTACTGGTTCAAAATCGGGAGCATGAATTGGCGACAGTTGTTTGGGGCGTTCTTGAGTAACAGAGGTAATCATCTTGCTTTTATAAAACAGTTCAGTAAGATAATACTCTTGAACTAACATTTTATACACAATATTGGCAGTTACAAACACAGCTAGCAAAACCGAGGACTGTGGATCTAAACGTTTTTGAGCAAAAGTACTTGCTCGTCGAGTTGCTTGTTTCGGCCTTGAATGAAAGTGTGTGTAAACAAATTTGACGACATAATGATTCACTGACCATTCTTGAATGAATCGGCTGAGTGAACGATTCAGTGACTAATAAAGGTATTTACACTGTGAAAGTAGAACATTTTCTTAGAGATAGCTTTTTACACTAAGTTTAAACAGCAATAGATTATATTTACACTATGTGAAAATAGCGATAGATTCTTTGCAATAAGTGTAAATAATAATTATGCTATTTATACTTATAAATGGTGGCAGATACTATTTGCACCTCAGTGTTGTTGTAGATTAAACTGTATACAATAATAACATAGAGAGTGTTAATTATTATATTTATTACATGATTAATATAGGGACAATACAGCCCTACACCTAACCCTAACCGATAAACACTTTATTATTAAACACACAATAGACACTTTATTTCCACTTTTCAAATATTTACTTAATTTTTCCTGGAAATTAATGCGATGGGATGGGAAAAGGGAGAAGAAGGAGTTCGGCAAAAGGCGGATTCGAACTCGAGTCGATTTGCATTCAAACTTTCACAGTGACACATCTTACCCCTACACTATTGCTACTGTTGTCAATTTTGCATCTTCCGTAATTGTGTCCGGCCCAACCAGACGTCAGTGGGCGGAGTTAGTGGAAATAGCCTCTGCCAACTAGGCGGGATATTTGAACTTAGTGTAAATAGACACTCCGGGAAGAAGCGCGGGCATCAGCCGCCGCCACCTACTGCTGTAAATAAGTAGGTGAAACCTTAAATACCTTAAAATAATCCTTAAAATAACCTTAAAATAATCTGATGAAACTAAATAAAGTTTTGGTAACACTTTATTTTAGGCTCCAATTCTCACTAATAACTAGTTGCTTATTAGCGTGCATATCACTAGTATATTGGTTGTAGTACTTACTATAAAGCACATATTAATGCCTTATTCTGCATGACCATATTCTACATCCCTTAATCCTACAATACCTCAAATTAAACGCTACAAAAACTACCTTCCTAACTATAAATATTACAGGGTTTTTTTTCAGTCGCTTTGGTACATTTCTCGAATCATCCTCGACATTTGTACAACAGTAAGTGCATTTCTCAAAACAATTTGTACAAATAGCAAAACACCATGGGTTACCTGCAAAAGCCAGTCTCTTGCTCAAAATCCTCAGTTCATCTCTCAAAAGTAAATATCTGTGTCAATGAACATGTCAGTGCATCAGAATGACAAGTGGCTGTGTTGTTGTGTACGGATAAGACAGTCAAATTGCTTAGTCATGTTGTCAATGTAATGTGTACTCTGGAGATGTTCTGATGTAAACTATGGCTAAAGTTTTGGTGACAATTGTTGTAAATTGTAGGTTACACACCTTAGTGTATGTGGGAGTTTGATTGCAAGAGACAGATTCACATTTACACTTTTACTGTTTGTACTGTAATTTGTTTATCAGACCATGTCATTGCGATACAGAAAGGAAAGACAGCACTGCAAAGCACAAAGAAAAAATGTGAACGGGTCAATCTCCTTAAGGAAAACTGTACATGCATATCATGATTCATGACAACTTGTTCAACCATTTTGCATGGAAAGACTTTTGCTATGAACTAATGCCTAAATGTTGTGGGGGGTGAGATTCAACAGAGACCCATTATAATACATTTTGATCAACATGATATAAGCAGCTGATAATATAGCAAACAGCAGAGAATTGTTCGTAATCATTTGCATGGATGTATCAAAGCAACTTGTTCAAAAGAAATGAGAAACTGCTTTTTTGATGTGCACAAGTGACACGATGA